GATAATAGTTGCTTTTCATGCCTCTTAAGGAAAACAATCTATTCCAAACTTTGTTGGCTTGTTTAAATCACACTAACAGAACAAAAGCCAAAGAGTTATTCTATTAAAATTAGTAATTTCTGTATTGATATTACATACACAATATTAGTTATTATTTATTAGACGAATATGTAGACCAACCAGCATTAATGACATTTCATAACACGCATACCTGCATAAACCAGAACCTGGGAATGTATTGTATACATACACGAGAACAGTCAAGGAAGGGGGAGGAGACTGGATAACAACAAAAATTACTAGGCATCCTACTCTGTTTAATCTCCTTTACTGGATCGCATATATAAATAAAATCTGTTTTATATATATATTTATCTATTAAACAGAGTGGGCCAAATTCTGCCCTCACATCTGTGCAAACTAATTCCAGAGAACTAGTATTGTGTGAGAGTAAAAGAAGGCATAATTTCACGCAGAATAAACACATCGGGTCAGATCTCGGGCAGATGGAAATTTCCTTGAAAGGATGGAGTGATGCTTATGTATTCTAGGTGGGAAGATGGTTGTGTTCATTCCAAGGGTTCCTTACATGCAGCTGGACATCAGTTTACTGACAAGCTCGATGTCAAACGTGGGTGGCTGATTTGCAACTGGCACTGTTTTTCCAACCATCCCATCCAGCCATTCCTTACCTTCCCCACCTGCCGCCCTAAATCCAGCCTAGCCAGGAAATTTACCCAATTTTGCTCATATTTGCCCAGCCATAGACATTTCATGGCCTGGCGCCCCAAGGGACTGCTTTCCTGCCCCACGGCAGGCGATGTGCAGCACTCTGCTAGCGGGTGTTCGCTGGGAGCACAGGGAAAGGAGCAGCTCTCCCCCTTCCCTGCTACCCACTGCTCTCGGGAGAGCTCACCGCTCCTTAATGCTGAGGGGGAACTTGCCAGCCCATGCCCTCCTTCATAGCACGTTTCACATCAATCCAGTCTGCATTTGGGTACCTGCTTCTGCACTTTGCGTGGAAGAGAAGGGATTCACTGGCTTATCACCTCCTCTAACTACCTCCTTTCTATTCTTCAGAGCAAAATGTACCACAAATCCTCCCTAAAAAAGGTGAGAGGCACACCCCGTAAGCAGCATCTTCCCTCCTGGGCATCTGCTCAAGGGCCTTCCAGTTTGGCTCACCTTTCAAAGGTCTCAAGAAGTGAAAGAAAAAATTTTACTATTCACAATCCAGTTCAGAGTGGTCTAATGGTAGTGGGGTGCACATGGCAGCAGTGACAGACCCCAGCTACTCCATGCTGGCTACAGACTAGTAAAGGAAGAGATGTCTGGGCTCCGCTTTCCCCCTCCTCGGAAAAGCCAGGAAGCTGCAGAAGGAAATCTCTTACAGGCTGCAGCCACCCCACTACCACCAGCCAGTCAGCAGAGATCTCATCCACAATGCTTTTACTTTCTTTTTCCAATCTTAAAGATTTGGTCAGAATTTATTCTGAACTACAGCATGGTTGGACACCACCAAGCAGACAATGCTACCAAGAAGAACGAGACATACAAAGGTGTGGGTTTCACAGCAGCGTTCAGATATTTCCAGGCGCCAGGATTGTAACTCAGGAGACATCTGGTCCACGTGTGCTGCCACCAATTCACGGTTCAACACGACATCCACGTTTCCCCTGCTGCCAAGAGCAAGATACCTAGCTCTGGAGCTAGAACATTAACTCTGCCAAATGTACCCTCAGTGAACAGAGGAGTCTGCACATCGCCTCTCCTCCTACAAACCCTGTCAAAACTTCCACTGACTCACTGGGAGCAGAGCTAGGTACGCCGATTCTCCACCCCCACCATGCAGCAGAAAAGCAGCACACACTGCACAGAGTTGTTCTTATTGCTCAACAAGATGGATGCCTACGTGAATAGTAAGAGGCCAGCAAATATGGATCACAGGTCTGCCTTGTTCTTTCTTTTTGTATGAAATATTGTGATCGACTGAGTCTACAAAAACATACTGCAGTTTAAAGACGACATACTTTAGTACAATCAATGGGGAGAAAAAGTGCATCTTAAAATGTGGAGCCTTGCTTTTGAAACTCAGCATCCTTTCTAGAGTCTTGTGAGAACTTTAAGGCAGAGTTTCCTTTAGCAGACCACAATGCTGAAGACTTGGACAGCTTTCTCAGTGAGGTATCCAAACGAAGCCCTATAACTGAGGCATTGTGGGTTCTTGAGGGTCCATTTTCAGCTGGACATACACAATGGCTGTTAAGTAAAGGCACTCTAGTGTACAGCCTTAGGCAGTGTGTTATTGGCAGTAGGGAAGCGTAAGTTTAGTACATCACAGCAGATCCTATAGCAGGTTCCTAGAACAGAGAGGGACAGGAAAGAAAAAAAACATGAGCAAAACACAAAACAAGCTTGCTGAAGCTTCTAGGGAGCCAGGTCCTTCCCCTTCTCAACTCCCTGCCTATTTTGCACATATCTAGTGTCAGACTGCTTCAGGAGAGTCAGCTTTTTTCCTTTTCCTTCTACAGCTGCTCTAGAAGAAATGATTGACAGCTGTATGGTGAAGCCTATTTGTTCAAACCCTGCAGAGCCAATCCATGGCCGATCTACCCCTTAAATTCCACTTAGGTAACCTTTGAACATTTCTCAAAAATTAGTGAGATTCAAGGTGACTCTCACCTGCCGAGTTACAGTGTGCAGCTGGTTCTGTAAGGGTCTGGTTCAGAAGTCTGAATTGCAGGGGACCACTAATTTTTTTTTTTTTTTTCCCTCCAAATAAGGGTAGCACATTCCTGGAGACCTGACAGCCAGAATACATTCACACAAGCTGACATTCAGGACTGCACAGCTGCTATACTATGGCATATAGACAGATGGCTTCCAAGGACACTGGTCATATTTGTTCAGAGCTGCCTCAGCAGTCTCTATTCTTTTTCCTCAAACTATTAAGAGGAGTTTTGTGAAGATGCTGAAATATAGGTGCCTACACAGATATTGCTATCTCTCTATTTACTGCTTTTAACGGCAGTTTAAAAACATTTGTTATGAGTTTACCATTAAGTCCTTGGCAGTGCTTTTCCTCTCTTTAATTCTTTGTGTTAGAGATCCTTGAAGCATGAAGTTTCTGTTAAACGTTCTGACAGTGGTAATTGGAGAACCATCTATTTTTTCACCTGGGAAAAATACAAAAAGGGAGATTTTTCACCTAACAGATTGAAGTAGATGTAACAACACTCCTGAAGAGTCACAGCTTCTAGAGAGATAAAACTTCTCCTAAGACATATGAGGAAAGCTGGATTTAATTTAAATGAAAAACAGCAGGCTGTGATAGCCCAGATTTATTAAAGTCTGAGGCCATGTCAATCAGTGGAATTACACAAGAGTAAAACAAGAGTAATGCAAGAGTAATGCAAGGTGAAACAGGCCCTAGCACTGTCAGAGATAATGCACTATGGGGTTAAAAAAAAAAAGAGAAAAGATGAAAGAAAAAAGGCATTTTATTTTATAAAGCCAATTCACAGCCATACCCTAACATAGCAGGAACATCACTGAGCCACATCATATGGAATGAAATCAGCAGATACAGGCTTTAAGAAAGCAACGGTGGGTTGTGGGGGGTGGCAACTGGCTTTTGGTAGTTAAACACTGTGACTGCTTGGGCCTCACAGCCTAATCCCAGGCGTGCCAGAGTAGCAGTGTCCCTGCTGCAGGACAAATATTCAGCATTTATCATTTGCTTTTCCCAGCCTTCTGCTTCTGCTCCTATTAATTTGCCACTGTCACAACTTCCACGGAAAGAGAAAGTGGTGATGCTTTTTAATGTGACAAATAGGTATTTTCTGTAATGCAAGTACAATGGGAAATGAGGAGGGTGGACATATTTAGGCTTTCTCTGTTCGTTTTATAACTTAATCTTTCCCCTGCTTTGCTGAACTGTACATTATATTGAAGCTTATAAAGAGAGACTCTCTCTCTGTATGGTGTGTAACAACTTAAGAGCACCTTTTATTGGTGGAGCTGGAAGTTTTCTCCTCTGCTGTCTTGATGTGTCTATTGTATGCATCTGTAAACAACACACATGCGTTACTCAACTCCATTACAGAAAAAGAGGTAAGATTTCCCCAATGTATTTTTGAATACTACATAATATTCTGGCACCTGGTTTGTTTGCTTTTGATCCCGTTTCCTTGTCAGGCGAACACATGGAGCCACGTTCAAGCCTGCAACAGTGAGAGCTGATATTCTGCTCTCAATATCTGAAATCTTCAAAGAAAATAAGAGAGAGAGACAGACAGATGGGGAGGGGGAAAAAGAAGTTTTAAAATTACTGTGGATCAAAGAAAATAAGAGAGAGAGACAGACAGATGGGGAGGGGGACAAAAAGAAGTTTTAAAATTACTGTGGAAGCCACTACTAAAATATATCCCTCCCCCAGTCAAATTCTCTTTAATCAAAAAATATAAACAGATGGCTAACTTCTTCAGCAATTCTGACACTTTCCTGTATTCTTTAGTCCTGATGTTAAAAGGGGCTTAATTTATTAGTAAAGATAGAGTAAAAGAACAATCCAACCTACCATGTGACTCCAAGGAAGAGGCATTTTACTCCTTTTGAGGAAAAAAAGAAAGGAGGAGAGAAAACCTCCATCTGCCATCTCCCAGTTACCTTTAGCTGCATAATTCCAAGTTCATTCAAGCTGAGTTTTTCAAAGGCTACATTCAAAGAATGACCTTGTGGGACATATTTCCTAATTCAAAATTAATTTCATGCACATGCAAAGTACATCCTCTGCCACAAAATCTAAACATTTGATCTTAAATATTTATAATTTAAGTGTATATGTATGTTAAACACAAACACACATAAATGCAGGTACACACTATATAAAAACACTCAATGGAAAACAAATTGCTAGGAAAAACAAAAGTCCAAGAAAGCAAACATCTGGGGGGAAAGCAGGCTGATGTTGAGACTAGCAGAAACAAACGCTGCCAAAAGGGAAAGAAGTGTCAGAGAAGTCAGAAATATAACCTGACTCCTGATGCACAATGACACCTGAAACTGTTTGCTCTGCGGAAGACCTTCAGTTGGCCTCTTTGCCATCCTCCTTGCACAGCTTAGGCCTCTCTCCTCCTCACATCTCACCCCCATTAACATATTTACTGTAAAATAATGACCGAAGCCAACAAAACGTCACTGCCAGATTGTCATCTAGTGCAGCAGTGGACTTCTGACATCAGAGAGATGTCAGACTCTCAGATCTTTGCTCAGTCCTAAATCAAGCTTGCTACTGCTGAGTAAAATAACTAGGTACTTCCCATTAAAGCCTGGCACAGGCAGGTCAGAGTGCCTTGCTTGGTCAGTGAAATCATTGGCAGTGAGTTGCTAGCAGTGCTGTCCCCTTGAGGTCTGGCAGCGTTACCTCGTTCAGCTTTTACCACCAGATCACAATGTTCTCTTCTGAGCCCCTGACTTTCTGGAGCCCACCAGAGAGACACTAGATTGCAGCCCACAAGAGCAATTGCCTTTTGGCTGGGACGTGCGTGGCTAAATCCCAAGGCAGGCTTGCAAGTGCTAGGCTCTGTGCTTGGCTCAGCATCTGGCTGCTCTTGGCCTTTTTCGGTAGAATGGTACCGACACTGGCTTCTTTTAGAAAGTGCTTTACAATCTGCTGATTAGATAAACTGCCTAAGACTGTATTTGCAGTCTGACCACAGCCATGTATGTGACACAGAGTGTCCATGTGAGCTGCGCGGCAGCAAGGAGCAGGTTCAGTAGTAGGATTGCAGTAACAGGCTGTTGCACTCCCATGCCCGAAATCAAGTTGGGGGAAGAAACAAATACAGTACATCTGGCTGGGCTGAGTTACGCATCTCAGTTAAGCTTTGCTCAGCTCCTGTGATGCAGTCAGCATCCTTGGATCATCAGTCCACTGCGGTACAAAAGAATATCGAAAGTAAGCGTGCGCGGACAAAAGGCAAGCGCTAGGCAAGGCAGTGTGAAACCTGCAGGTAGGGAGGAGCCACTGTCCTCACCTGAAGCTCTGCATGATGAACTTGGGCGGCTGCTGTGGCCACCTGATCCTCCAGATCGGCCAGCTCAGATTCTGCTGTAACACTGTTGATCTTGCGTGCGGCGTCCTCCAGGTTGGTCAGCTGCCCCTCCAGCCCGTACACTGTTCCGGCTGTCAAGTACACCTGCAGTGCCAAGGCAGGGAGAGGGGTCAGTGATTTCCATTTTGTGGGCACGGAGTTTTGAGCAGACTGCATCTTCCATGATGCCTTTGAGCCTCCCTCCTTGCTAACCCACTACAGGGAGACTTACCTGGCAGAGGAAAGTCATGGGGGAATAATCTGAAAACACACATCCACAAAGAGAAGGGAGGCGTGAGGTGGCTGAACTCCGAATTTCATAGGTGCTACAATGGTATTCCAAACCAGATTTGTTCCAGATTCACCAGCAAAAAAAAAACCAAACCCTGAAAAGTTTGCTTTTTTATTTTTGATATTCAATTGCATAACAAACCCCCTGAAGTCTACAAGGGGAAGCCAACAGATCACACCTCATATAAAGCTGTGTTTATTGAAACACGCCTAATGCCTTCTGGCAATCAAAACTCTGCAAAAATAACTGTTCAGCAGCATATGGTTATTAACTTCTTATAGAGTAACTGTGCTTACATGTACAAGACAGTTTTCCATCACATCCTGCTCTCACTCAAATATACAGCAGCCAAAACCTTCCCAACTCCTGGTTCTTTGGAGTGAATCTGTGGAGGGTCGATAGACTTATCTGGGCCACATAAGAGAGCATAACAGACTTTACCATTTAGAGATCTTCCCTAAAACCAAACAACTTTTAATATTTTTACCCACCTATGATACCTCTGATAACTGCAGGTAAAGGTTTCATTTCCCATTCAGCTCCTTGGAGCAATAATTCATGATACACTGTGTTTTATGTGTTTATTTTACTTCACAAAGAAATCTAAGGTATACGACTGGATGGAAGTCTCTGGTTTATAGAAAAGGGTCATTTTCAAGCATTAGCTTTTGACATCAGTGCTTAAAATTGTGCAGAGTCATGTGAAAATACTGCACCTTCTGCCTGTTTACGAGGTAGCCAAGAGACTGTTTCCATGAGGCTGGTAACAGCACAGTGGAAATGAAATATATATTCTGATTTTCCCCATTGGCAGCCTCACTCACTCTAATAGCAGTAAAGACTGTGGTGCTGCAAAACTAGCATGAATTAAACATTTCTGTGGCTGACTTCATGGTTCAAGGAGCAAGCAAACAGGATCTGATCCTTGAGTAGATATGTTCACTTCATACCTGTTTTCCACTCAGGTCATTCTATCTGCCCACAATTCCTAGATTATGCAGTCCTTTGACATAACAGTTATTCAAATAATTTCTGGCCATGCTGTGACTTTATGGATCAAAAGTGGTGGACAATGACTAGATTAAAATGTAAGTGTTTACTTTTCATTATTTTTTATTTTATTATTGTTTCTTAATTGCTTGCAATAGTTTTTTTTTTCCTTTGTATCAGTTGTTTCAAAGCATAAATATATATATTTTTTTCATGTATGTGACTTTGCTAAGAAACAAATTCTCTACATCTTGTATGAACTGCATCTTCTAAGACCACAGTCTAACTGCAGGCATGAAATCTTTGAAAAATGTACCTAGAACAAATAAGTGATCTCATTTAACATCTTTGCTGAAGTACTTGGAGACACAGGTGGACCATAAAGTTAACATGCTGATTTAAATAGAAATGCTCCTGCTTTTGTGGGTTTTAATTATTCTTTCCATTCATTTAAATGATACATCTTTGTGGTGCAATATGCCACAGCCACTTCTTATTAAAAGGTGATTTTTTTTTTATTTCCCCATCATGTCTAAAAACTCAGAGAAAGAAGAAAAAGGAACATTATGAACACAAACATCTTTAGAAATGTAAAGAAAAGATGCATTTAAATGCTGTGCCAAAATTCTCTGCACAGTAAGTTGTACTCTTCAAGAGGGGGAAAAAAATCTAAAGAAAATAGGACTGACAAAAATGTGGGAAGGGAAGATCATCAATGTTTTTGTCCTACATTTAAGTTTTACTTTTATTGAACGTTTTCCAGATAGATCTAAATAAAAGATTTTTCTAAAGAATATTCTCTTTACCTGAACAATTGTTGTGCTTCCAAACAGCAGTGGGATACCTGTAGGTTTCCACTATGTTGTGCCTTTATGCATACATTCACGTTCAAATTGTGGAGACATTATACTACCATTTAGGTACGCACAGCTTCCACTAAAACCCACCCGACCTCATGCTGGTACAGGTAGCCCTACATTCTCCCCACTGATGCATGCACAGTCCCCAAAATGCTACAGAGAGCAAAAATTAACAAAATATCTATATATAACCAGATCCTCTTCCAAAATTTGCTGCAAAGAGGATGTGCTGCATGCAGATATGCCCCCAGCTGCACTGGGAAAAGTTACGGATTCTTGGATTTCTAAAGGCTCTTTAACTCTGCTATGGAGCGTGGTGGTGAAATCTTGAAACCATGAAGTTTTGCCACCTACTTCAAAACCTGTGTGGGGCAGAGAAAGATGTAGTGTGGGGACACGGCAAGGCTGAGCTGGGTACCTTATGAATATGCAGGGGAATTAAGAGAAGCTAAATCAGGGATATGCTGCAAGGAGGGCAACGCCACAGCAAGAAATGCTCTGCCTCAGCGCCCAGTCTCTGCTCAATGAGAAACGCTCGGCCCAAATGAATGACTAGGGGCCATGGCACCACAGATGCCGAAGCTCCACAAGGACAGGAGAGATTGGCAGAGTGTAATTGGGGAAAAAAAACACACCTCGGATAGTTTACAACACAGTTCTCCACAGAAAAAATGTGGGAGGAACTCTCCACAAATTGCTCTTTGTCCTTCTAAGGAATTTCTTAGTTTTTCTAAAGACATGGTCCAGTTTGGACTTGGATTTTCCTTCTGTATTCACTATCCCGACAAATGCATTCTGCGGTGCATGGAGCTAGGATGCTTCAGTATTTCACAGGGGAAAAAAGTCTCCATCGACCTACTTCTATTATTCTGAAAAAAATTAATCAAACTAAACTTGAAGTTGTTGCGGGAGTGCATGTGTTGCGTAAGAATGAAATGGATGCCATGGTAGGTGGCATGAGGAGGGCACTTTGCTCGCCACAGGCTCAGGTTATACCCTTCTCCGGGCACTAGAGCAGCAGCTGCTGTGGGAAGCCTTTACCATTCTGCAGAGGGCAATAGCTGAGCGGCCACACGTCCAGCATCTCCTGGACACATCCTCCTGTCCTGCCCTCCCAGCCGCACTGGGGAGGACTCCCAAGCCTATATTGCTTTTTTGTTTTGAGTTCCCCCGCCCCAGAGAGGAGCTGGGAGCACAGCCGCTGTGCGGAGAGCTCCATGGCAGGGCAGGCTCAGGTGGCTGTGATGCCCCATGATGGAGGGCAGGAGATGATGGAGGATGGATGATGGAGGACAGTGTGTGGAAGCAAGGAGGAGCAGGAACACCTCAGCTGGCACAGCGGGATGCCTGGGAAGGCTGAGCAGAGGTGGGAAGGAGAGGTTCGGAGGTCTGGTTATGATCAGGAGCTGGTTGGGGAGGAGTGAAGGTGCTCTGGGGTGGGTTGGAGGGCATCCTGTTGGTGTGGGCAGGGGGAAAGCTCTGAGATGGAAAAGGTTTTGGAGCAGATGATGTTAGGAGGGGTAGGATCTAGCTTGGGAACCTCCGAACCGAAGGAGGGCTGGGAGTTTTGAGCTCAGAAAAGGTATGGTGAGAGCAACCAGGGAGCTGCGGGACTGGTGGGAGGGCTCTGGAGTAGGACAGGCCCAGTGCCAGGACTGGCTGTTATTGCCATGGATTCTCTGCCCCTCAGTCCCTAGCCTGGGGCTGCTGTGGAAGTGCATTTCTGTGGAGGAAACTCATTTTATCCCCCAAGAAGAGATTCTGTCTGAAAATTTTCTGGGGCTAAAGAAAACAAGGATCTCTTTTCTTGAATTGATCAGGATGTTATAATGGGACAGCCCAGATTCCAATGAGATCTTTAAGAGCCCCTAATGAAGGGAAAAATCACTGAAATATAATCAGTTAAATGTGGGAAGAAGAGCAAATCGAAAGTTACAAGTGTACCAACTCCATTAAGTGGATGCATAAAAATTTCCAATGAGTAGTTACTTCCCTCTGTGATTCAGCATTACACTTTTCCTTGCAAATGACAGGTACTCATGAAAACGATGGGTGATTCGGACATGGCCAAACAGAAATGTTTGTTTAATTTGGCTTCTCTAGCCTCCTCTTTTTACCAGTGCAGCAGGCAGCTCTGGCTCCCTGGGTGCTCAGCGCAGTATGCTGGGGAAGTGTGGGTAGAGGAAGAGCTCCTCCACTTTTTCTCCATGTGCCTGGGGACATGCTTTCCCCTGCCCATCTTTACAATAACGAGGCTGTGCTGGGATTTGGAGACATGTGGTTTCAGCAAGGTATGGCGCAGCTGCGCAGCCACAGAGGTTTAGAGGGCTTAAGTTAACTTTTGAGGTAGGGATTCTAAAATTAGTTGTAAAACCCAACACATCCAATTCGCCCCCCTCCCCAAAATGTTTTAAAGCACACATTAAAAAAAATCCCTCAGCAACACAGCTGAGTACTCCTTTGAAATAGGATTTTTTGTTCTGTTTGTGTATTTGTTTAATAATCCAGAATTAATTCTGAACATCCACTCATGCTGCCTACACCCTTTCCCTTTCCAGTTGGCACACACACACATATGTACACTCACTCACTCACGTGACACTTCCACATACTGATTTATGTTCTTACGCTTTCTTCCAGCGTGGTGAGCTGCTCATCGAGCCTGACGGGGTCCGTCCCCAGCGGGAACGTCCCTCTTCCTCTGTCCTGAACATCAGCTGGGAAATCGCAGGGATCAGTGGATTCTGCTATCAGTTCTTCAGTGGCATTGATGACTTTCAGGACCTCTGTAGATATGTTGCAGAGAGAGACAGCAGAGTACTTCTGTTTTGTTACAAGAGTAGACAGAGAAAACAACAGCATTAAATTAGCACAGTGGGGTAATATGTAAAATCACCTTGCTAATAGCTGCAGCTATAGCCATGCTAAAACAATATACCTGGCTAACTGCTGTGAACAGACACAAGAACTGCGTGATGAAATTGGAATCTGCTTCTCTTTTTCTCCATCCCTTTTTCACATATGCACACTGCTAGAGTACGCAAAATAACACACACGCAATTCCTCCACAACATGATTTCTACTGGAGGGATGGTCCAAATTGTGTCACAGAGGAGCACACAAATATCCAGCTTTAAAATCCAAGTGAGCTAGATAAGGCTATTTTTGCAATAGCATTTTCAACAGGTTTTAAAACACAATCTTCCTCTTTGGGTAATGGTAAACAGATGTGGAATGTCTTCATTTCCACAGGAGCTATCGCATTGCAGCTGCAAACACAGGAGAGCAATCTTCAGCAGTCCTATCAGGATGGCAGTTTACGAAGATGTTTGCTATAGATTATAAGATAGCCCCAAAAAACAAAGGTTGAGCCTATAAGCATGTAATCACTTGTATCCTGTTTTTTTTTTTTTAAATTTAAATTTACCTTTAATATTTATAAAATAAATTACATCAAATATCAAGGAAAAGCATGCAGTTTTATCCCCCCCTTTTTTTTACACAACTGTAAGCCTTTTTATCAGTGTTCCTGATTAACTATCCTGATTCTGATGATTCTCACAGAGCTCTAGGCTTCAGGACAACTCCTTTGATGGCAATAAAATTTCACCTGACATACCATCAAGCTCAACATCCAAACCATATAGCTTGGAGATGGAGCCAAAGCTTGTTGAATCCAATACAAATACTGTCACTGAATTTAGTGTTGCATTGCCAAAAAGAAAGTGTGGGAGGTTTAGACCTAAATTTATTTCATTCCTCACACCTGCAAATACTTATGCATGTGAATTAGGGACCCACCCATCTGTAAATTTTTCCACAAACAAAATATCCAAGGATCAGAACTGAGGAAACAGTCTTTGGATTCTATATAGTAAATTCTATAGTACAGAAGAGTATACCTGATTAAAAATGTCTCTGTGTTATGCAAACGTTGTATTAATCAGTATGTCAGCTGGCCTCCTAGGCAGGATATAGGAGAAATAACATCCCTTTGCTTCACACAAACTCTGGTGGGTTTAACTGGAAAACCTCTTTTATTATCTATTTCCTGTAATTAGCTGTTCATTTTTATGTTAGATAAGACTTTTACTGAAAAACTACTTTTTTAGCAGTGTGTACTCAATTGTTGTATATCAATACATTAAGACATCTTTAGCACTGTTATGTCTCCGAATTACAAAAAATAATTAGATACATGAGATTAAAGAGAAGGAGAACAAAGCAAATACAGTATGCTACAGCACAGAGATCTTTAGCTTGTTAGGGCAGCCAACACAGTCCTGAACAAGTAGGCCTAGGACTCTCTAACTGGGAACAAATACTTGAACCCCATAAATAGCCTACTGTTTTTTCCATTTATTTTCACAAGTGCCAATTAGGTTAAAAACAGATCAATAATTTTATAGGACAGAAGAGGAAATCAATGTTACTTTGTTTTATTATTTGCTTTTACAAGTACCTAATTCTTATTCTATTCTGTGAGTAGTGAGCAAAAAAGGATAAAGGCCAGACACTACATTTTCTTCATCATCTTCACTGATGTATGTTCTCCATTTCAAGAACTGTAGCCTCACTTCAGTGTTCATTATTTCTTAAATTTTTTATTATCCTTTGTAGCTAATGATGGATTTCCAAAAAAGATTAAATTAAATTAGAAAAAGGTGTTCTTATACCAGAATATGAGAATCCATATTGGCATTTATTACAGACCAATTACTGCAAAACAGGGTTTTTGGTTTTTGTTTTCCTGGTAAAGTGTTCTGTGATAGGAAGCTTTAGGAAATCAAGATTTTCAGTAAAATACCCTAGCGTCTCGATATGTAATGGATAGGGCAAGAAAAGTTCAACTAAAAGGAAATGTGATTTCTAGCTTTTCTAGAATTTTGAGGTAAGTTTAGTGGCAGCTGCTGTTTGACTTTTAAAACCAAAGATTTGCCTCACATTAAATGTTGCACAAGGCAGCTAGATGGATGTTCATAAAGTGTTTGCATCAATGAACATATCTTGATCCTAGCCTGCAGGTATCTAGCCAGACATAGGAGTTGCAACATCAAAGATTTTCTTTAAGCTTGTGAAACATCTGCTTTTATAGTATAACAAGGATACAGCACTAGAGTTTAAACACCGTAAAGAAATGCATGGCAAGCAAAAGTGGTTTTCCTTACAGTATATCTGAAGAGTTGATCTCCCAAAACCTAAGAGCACAAGCGATATTTCAATGTATTTAAATCTAAACTTTGTGAAGGTTTTCTCCTAAAGGATATTTAGAACTCAGCTTTCCCCTGCGCTGCGTTTCACAGAGAAGTAAGAGGAGATTAATGTCTGCCCGAGGGAGACATAAAATCAACATGTGGAGAGTTTGGGGTTTCTCAATTAATGTTTTTGCATACATTTCTACCTCTTTTTTGAGCAGCTGTCAAAAGCTGTTCAAACAGCTGATGTTCTAAAACAGCCAGTTTGCAAACCTAGTGGGTTACTCTAGATATAATTATTTAATGTATAAAAGGGAAAAAAAAGAAAAAAGAAAAAAAAGAAAAAAGAAAAAAAGGGGTGGGGGGGAAGACAAAGTGTCCTGGAGTTTTAGTGCTTCACAACCCTCTCCCCTCCCCAACCACCCACATCAAACTTAGGAGTTACGAGGTTCTATAAGTCACCTAAATTCACAGACACACGCACACCAAGATCATCCTGGTAGGTAGACATTTCAAATTGCTATAAAGATCTCCTGGCTGTCTAATTTATCTTGCCCTTGCAGGAAAGGTCATTGTTAACACCTACAAGTGATTCAGAGAGACAGCTATCATGCCATGATGAAGTCTCTCCCATCTGTCTTGTCAAGCAAGTCAAACAACTAATATGGATGTGATAGACGCAGAAAGCAATCTCTATTACAAATATTTAGCACAGAAAAGCTAAGGGCAACCATTCTTCTCAAAACACTGGGATGCATTCTGATTTCGACTGTGCTTCCCTGCTTCTGGATTAACACTACCCCTCCCAAATGAAATTATAGAATCATAGAATTGTCTAGGTTGGAAAAGACCTTTAAGATCATCCAGGCCAACCATTAACCTACACTACCAAGTCCACACTAAACCAATCAAGGGTAGACTAGACTAAACCATGTCCCGAAGTGCCACATCTACCCGTTTTTTGAACACTTCCAGGGATGTTGACTCCACCACCTCTCTGGGATCAATGCAGCTGATCAAAATTTGAATGTCTGTACTGGTTATGAGAATCTAATTTTTTACTGAATTTCAGATTAAGAGGTTAATGAAACGAAGAAAACATGCATTTATCCTCCTTATGATAATTAATGTCCATGCTCACAAATACATTAAAGACACAGTCAAAAGGAGATGCTCAATTTCTCAAGTTCTTTGTGGAAGAATTTTCAACCAAAACCAAAACCCAAACCTGCCTCCTCATCTCCCCACCCCATGGGAGTTGATTGTACAGCTTTGAGAAGGCCCTGAAAAGCCCACCAACAGTCCATTTCCTTCACAGGCAAGGAAGATCTGGGACGCTGGCCAAGTCACAGTGTGGGAGGAACAGAGCCATCAATGCCGAACCATCAATGGCAGTCGTCAACCCTGACCTTCAAAAGATCTTTTGGCCTAAAAGTGAGCCCTAACCACTCATTACCACAAAGACTGGGAAAGCAAGCTAAAATTCACCTTGATATTTGATGGAAGACAAGTATACTATGATAAACTATGGTATTAAGGAATTACTCTGCTGTGCAAATTTAAGACTTCCTTCCTTGACCTTAACATCAATATCTTCATTTATGGGCACTCATTTAGAAAAAGAAAGCTAAATTATCTTACAGAATGAGCTATTATTCTACTGAAATTCTCCAAAGTATGACACAGAGAAATACAGTCTGTCTTTTTGATGGTGGTAGGTAATTCTGAATATTAGATTTTTAATAACAAATTCAATCCACTGTCCTAATGTAGTTACAGATGTTGTTCCTAATAACACCTGTAACTAATTCTAAACTTGTAATGCCTCATTTCCAGAGACAAGTTGTCTATAATCATGAGAAAAGAAGTGATTTTCCAAGAGGTGAAATATTATGGTCCAAGTTGGAAATGGAAATATTTAAATCTTAAAATCTGCACAGGATTCTGTAAGAGTATCTATAATGGACACAGGCTGATGACATTGCACAAATGGAAAAATATTTTTTCTTTAAAATAATCCCTGATATTTTTACTAAAGAAAACCAAAATGATTAAAAGGTGATTAAAATTCATAGCACAAAATTTAACTTTGAGAGTAAGGAAAAAGAAGTTGTTGAGAGGAGGAGTTTTTGCTGAATTAAGCATCAACTTTTGACACAAAAAAGTGATTCTTATTTTATGACTGAGAGAATGCTACAGAATTAATTTGCTTACCACTATATATGACATACTAAAAATAGCACGTATTGTAAAATACAAGATAAGTATATATTTGCTCAGGGAATAAAATGAAAGTCTGGTTTAGTATCTGATTCTCATAAGCTGAGACTCAAATAGCACAGAATATGAAGCCTCTTTCCATCTAGATCAATGATAAGCAATAGACACTATCAGCAATGTGAGAAAGTGCCTACTCACTATGTACAATCTGTATAATGAATTAAGGGTTTTGTTTATTTTTTTAAATTGGGAGCTTAGAAAGGTTTTGAAAACCACTATGGTCAGAAACTGCTAAAAATCTTATTGCTGAAATGAAATTCTAAATTTTTTTCCTTCCAGATTTATTAGTATAGATGAGTACCTGACAATAGGAAGATCATACACCTTATCTTTGTCTTCTGTTCTTCT